GGTAGAGACTCACCGGTGAAACAGGAGCGACTTGACCAGCGTGACCACGTCTCTGCTGGCGTTGTGACCGGCACACACGCACGCTACATGGATCAGCTGCAGGGACAGAGGAGTATTTACCAACAACAACAACAACAACAATAATAACAATAATAGTGAATAATAGTTATTTTTAGCATTATCATTATTATTAGTAGTAGTAGTAAAAAACAACAACAACAATAATAATAATGATAATAACAATAACAATAATAATAATAATAACAATAATGCATAATAATAGTAATAGTAATAATAATAATGTTATTGTTTATTATATTATTGATAATAACAAGAAATACATCAATATAAACATAAACATAAACATAATAATAATAATAATAATAATAATAGTGAATAATCATACTACTACTATTAATAATAGTGAATAATAGTTGTTATTAATAATAATAATAATAATAATACATGCCACAATATGTCTGTTTAACACCTCTGCGTTCTAATTAATGACTATTTATTTATTTATCTATTTATTTATTTATGCACGCAGATATGAGCAAAAATAAATAAATAAATGTGAAGGACCTCCAAACAGGTTCTGTAGCAGAGCAACAGGTTCCTAACAGAGACGGGAATAATAATAACAGAACTAGAACATCTATTGAGGAAACCGGCTAAAACACCAGCAGGAATATATAAACAAAAATGCATAAATTAAATGATTAACTGTCACATTATTGTATAATCGACTCTAATTTTCAGCTGCCGCTCTGCACCTTTGGTTAAAGTCCATCTATTGCCACATGTTTCACCGATTGAACCGTTTTGGTTTGATTTCTTCCTGTGACACTTTGGGAATCAGCGGAATAGAAAATGGATGGATGGCTTCCATGACTTTTTTTATCAATGATGTCTGGTCTCTTTTTATTGGAGCTAAACTGATATATAAAAACAAATAAGAAATTATTTATTTAGCAATGCGATTGAAATTTTTCAAATTTGTAGATAATGTCCCCTCAGAGATTTTTACTTGAAAGTAAAAATACAGTAATAAAATAAATAAAATTACAAAATGAACAATTAAAACAGGCATAATCACAGGTAGGAATTCAATCGTGTGACATTTGAACATTTAATGGGTGACTTTTGGCATATGAATCCGTTCATGTTCTGTCTGGGGTCAGCTCACCGAGCCCTCTGATTGGCTGAGCTGTGAACAAACAGGAAGTGACCCACCTCACACTTGTGGACGGTGGGGGGGCGGGGGCAGTCGGTGTGGTTGCTCTTCTCCTCCGCCGTGTTGTCTCCGTCCTCCGGCAGCGTGTCCGCCGACGCGCCCCACTGCTGGTTGCCGTAGTTACCGTCCGCCGGCTGGTTGGCGGCGCCCTGCGATTGGCTGAGCTGCAGCCGCATCTGCCGGTTCTCCTCCTCCACCTCTCGCACCCGCGACTCCAGCAGCTGGGCCGCCGGCGCGTCCGCCAGGCAGGGCGCTAGCAGCAGCGAGCGGCCGTCTGCGGGCAGAGGAGCGCTCAGGACGCCAGCCGCCAGCTAGCGCTAAAGGCTACAGGCTGAACGCTAAACGCTAAAGGCTAAAGGCTAGAGGCTGAACGCTAAAGCCTAAAGGCTACAGGCTAAAGGCTGAACGCTAAAGGCTAAAGGCTAAAGGCTAGAGGCTGAACGCTAAACGCTAAAGGCTAAAGGCTAGAGGCTGAACGCTAAAGCCTAAAGGCTAAAGGCTGAACGCTAAACGCTAAAGGCTAAAGGCTAGAGGCTGAACGCTAAAGCCTAAAGGCTACAGGCTGAACGCTAAACGCTAAAGGCTAGAGGCTGAACGCTAAACGCTAAAGGCTAAAGGCTAGAGGCTAGAGGCTGAACGCTAAACGCTAAAGGCTAAAGGCTACAGGCTACAGGCTAAAGGCTGAACGCTAAAGGCTAGAGGCTAGAGGCTGAACGCTAAACGCTAAAGGCTAAAGGCTAAAGGCTAAAGG